AGGGAATTAATTGCCTTGTGTAACTGCAACCTGATGCAATGAGGCAACAGTAGGTTTAAAATGGGGCTCAAAGGGAATAGCATTTAAGTATATTAAAATGCAACAAGGAACCAACATTACTATCTCTCCTCAAAGTGGGAACTTGGTCTCCCTTTGTATGAATGTAAGATTTAAATGTGATATCAGTGATGCAAAGCTAAAAATTGGTTCTGTATTGCCTAAGGTATCTAAATACAACATATGGTAAGTGAGGCTGTACAGATACGAATCCATTTAAAATCCTTTTCGGCAGCAAGACTCAATTGTCATGTTTTGTTAGGTCTGTTTTGTTAAGCAAAGGCAGAGCTTATGTGCACATGCAGTGCAAGAAAGGATTTCCTACTATGCCCCAGGAAAACTGACAAACCAAACTATTCTCTAATTGAGTTGTGTTCCACTGTACTGAAAAATGTGGTCTTTTTAGCAAACAGCTTTAAAGCTAATTAAAGAGCTTCTCTGCTCATTTTTAAGAATAATGTTATGCAACCATGTTTGCAGTTTAAGCTGGGTGCTACAATGTCTGTCCATACAAATAGCAAATCATGACATAATCTTTTTAAGTGATCTAGATATTTTGATGAGAAAGCCAGACATAAGGCTGGCAGGACAGCTATCAGATCTCAATTCAAAGTGTGCATCATCATTACTGGAAGATAGAAGAATATCTGAAATACTTGTTTTATGGAAGAACTTATGGAGCTATTATAAAGCAATTTATATCCAAAATGTATTTTGGGGGAAGAGTAAGAAGCAAAACTTTATATTTGTAGTATCATAATAAAAGATTGGAGAGTGGTGGCAAATGGAGTTAAATTCACCTGATGGCCGGTCACAAGTGGTGTTCCAAAGGCTCAGTTATGAGATCAGTCCTGTTTAATATCTTTACAGATGATCTGGATGAGGGGATCAATTGTTCAGTCAGTTTGCAGATGACACCAATTTGGGTGAGAATGTTGACCTGCTGTGGGGTAGGAAAATTCTGCAGAAGGATCTGGACAGGCTGGATTGATGAGCTGAGGCCAACAGTATGAGGTTCAAGAAGGCAGTGTCCTGCACTTGGGTCACAACAACCCCCTGCACTGCTACAGGCTTGGTGCAGAGCGGCTGGAAAGCAGCCCAGTGGAAAAGGACCCTGGGGATGCTGGTCGACAACAGCTGAACGTGAGCCAGAAGTATGCCCAAGAAGGCCAATGGCATCCTGGCCTGGATCAGAAATAGTGGGGCCAGCAGGACCAGGGCAGTGATCATCCCTCTGTACTCTGCACTGGTAAGGCCAGACCCGGAATCCTGTGTCCAGTTCTGGGCCCCTCACTACAAGAAAGACATTGAGGTGCTGGAGTGTGTTCAGAGAAGGGCACCAGAGCTGGTGAAGGACTGGAGCCTTATACAGAGCAGCTGAGGGATCTGGGGGTGTTTAGCCTGGAGAAGAGAAGGCTCAGGGGGGACCTTATTGCTCTCTACAACTACTTGAAAGGAGGTTGTAGTCAGGTGGGGAACGGTCTCTTCTCCCAAGTAGCAAGCAAGAGGACAAGAGGAAATGGCCTCAAGTTGCATCAGGGGAGGTTTAGACTGGATGTTAGGAAAAATTTCTTCCCTGAAAGGGTGGTCAGGCACTGGAAGAGTCTGCCCAGGGAAATGATGAAATCACCATCCCCAGAAGTGTTCAAAAAGCATGTGGTTGTGGCACTTGGGGACATGTGGTAAACATGACAGTGCTAGGTTAACAGTTGGACTTGATCTTAGAGGTCTTTTGGAACCTTAATGATTTATGATTCTATGAACATAAATAATTTTGTTTTCTTCAGAAATTGTTTTCAGCTTGAACAGTACAAAACCAAGCTGTTCCACAAACAAGACAGTGAACTAGAGAAAAAGTAAAAGTGAAAACTGAAGAGTGATTTTTTTTCCCTTTGTCAAGCTTAAGAAATATGAACGATAAATTAATAGCTTGGAGATTGAGGACATTGCAACGGTTAATAACAATTTTCTAGAACAAAATTTGATAATGGTTTGGATGGCTTTTGCAAATAGAAATGCTGTTCCAATGAACCTAACCCTCCTCCAAGTAGGGAAGCATATTAAAAACCTCTGCCAAGTAAAGGGGCAATTTCACTACAAGTATTTCTACAAGAACTGGTTTTGACTGGCACTATCTTCCAAGAAAATTTAGCCAAATTCCTAACTGAGATCAAGAATAGGAAGTAATACTTAGTGGCATTTAAATGAATCTATGGATGGTCATATTTACATCACAGAAGCAGGACAGCTGGCATATGCAATAGTTTTTTCATCTATTATTCCCTTATCATCTACACCTTAAATCAAACTTGTGGAGTGCTTAACAAATATAGCAGTTTTCTATATTACTGATAAATTTACAGCATCTTCAAAATTTAGTGATGACTAGTACTTTCCACTGGCACTGTATGTGGTTCACTAGACTAGTAGGAATTTATATACATAGACATCAGCCAGCAATTTTTCATATTACTGAAACCTCATAAACAAAGATGGAACAAAGTTATATATTTTTGTCATAGAAACTGAAAGTAGCCAAGATCACTGTCCCCTGTATTGAACAATGCTTCTGTTAAATCAATTTTTTTATACAGAAAGAGTTGTTCTAGTAGTCAGTATGGAAAGAAAGAATTTGAAACTTGAGCAGTTCATGTTTATTTTTTCCGCAATAATTGGTCTGCAGGGTATTCCTGAAGTGAGCAATTCCATGACACAAATACGAGGGAATCAATTTTTGAGATACCAAGGATAAAAAGAATTTTTTCCAGAATTACATGAATCGACCAAGAAAAATGCTGCTCTATTTCTCAGTGGAAAGGCAAAATTAATAAAATTTGATGCCAAGAAAGCCAAAGTGATAATGTACCATCAGTCAGTAAAACAAGAAAGTGTCTTGTATTGTTACCGGTGATAAAGAAGATCTCAGGCAGGACACCGTTAGGTAGCTGAACTTGCTAAATGTTACAATAAAATTTTTGGAAATCTGACTGAAAAATCTTGTTACCATTAGCAATCCTCCTTGAGCACTTTCAGGGGTTGGACAAGACACCACAAAACTGGAAAAAGACAAACACAAGGAGCAGTTCTCAGGAGCCAAGTGGTTGCCCCAAAGCAAATAATTTCTTCTTCATATTCCTGGTGGACAGAGCCTTAGAAAACGGATAGTGGAATATATCTATGCACTGCTTGATAGGGAATGAAATATTCCTCATTGGACACTTTAAAGAAGACTTTGGGTAAAGATAAACCCCCTGTTTGGAGGGTCACTGGTATTTTAACTAGATGCATGGACTAGATTATTTCCTGAGGTCCTTTCCAGCTCTTTCTCTACAATTCTCATGCTCCACAGAAATAAACAAGTACGGAAGTCACTGTGGTTTTGAAACCTTAAGTATTTTGTTATTCTGTTATTACTGTAGCTGTTGTTGCAGATGCAGTGACTGACCAGGCTACATTCACTATGTAGAGATGTTTACCCAGTGCATTTAAAATTTATCTGGATGATAAAAGATTAACACTGCTTTGAAGTTAATTTATGGCTTCTGAAACACACACATCAATACCCTTTCAAAACTTGGGAGAGACTCTACAAAGAGACAATTTCATTATTTACACAACTGAATTAAAAAATCTTAAAATGGCATTGCCTCTTTGGGATTTTACTTGTTTACTTAATGGGCCTCGACATAAAAGCATTTTTGGCAGACACTTTATAGTCACTGAAGCAAAGGACTGATTTAAAACAGCTGATTTTCTTTTCACCACCTCCTGCTGCAACAGTATACTGGCAAAATAGCATGGAGTTAACGGTACATAGGATGAATTAGGGTCTATTTTTTCCTTCAGAGTTTAAAATCCCAGTGCAAAGCTGATCCTCCAGGTGCTTTTGCTGTTGGCATATACTCCTGATTCAGACTCCCGCAATATGCTGAAGCAGTAAAAATATGGTCAAAGATTTCAGCCTTGGAGATGGAGCCAAGAAGTACATGTCAGAAGGGTGATAAAAATGACAGACAAAAAAAGCTTTCAACATATAGAATGTACATTTTTATTATCCTACTTTTTGGATTGGTGTCAAAGGTTTTCCAGAATCAATTGGTAAGTGAAACCACTGAATTTTCATGCAAAGTGATAACAGCATCTGTGAGACACAGGGGAAAGCATAAGAAAAGGGACAAAATACGTTTATTGTGAATTGTTGAATGGTAAATTCTGCAAACAAGAGAGAAGTTGAAAATAAAGTTCCACCAGCTAAGCCATGAAATGGCGTAAGAATGAGCTGTTGGGAGCTCTTTTCAGCCGTGGTGAATACTGGAGCTGGCCGAGTATTTTAAAACCAGGCTGATGGATTAGCAAGCTGGGCAAGAAATCAGGCGTGTGGCAGCCAAGTATGGATCTCAGAGATTTGTGTGATGCAGAGGAGCTGCACATGCCGCGAGAGCGGAGCGGAGCGGAGCTGAGCTGAGCTGCCCTTGCCCCTCGGCGTGGGCATCACTTTGCTCCCCAGCACCGGCTCCGACCGGCGGGACCAGCCTGGGGATTCCCGGTGCCGCTACCACCTCCCCGTGCCCGCGCACCCAGGCTGCCCGCTCCCAGCGGGATGCCACGCGCGAGGCCGGGGCTGTGGGGCCATTCCGCGTGCGCTCCAGCCCCTGTTCGCCCCCGGAGACCGAGAGGCTTTGTGTCAGCTCAGGCTGCTCCGGCGCGGGGGTCCCGAGCGGCTCCGGAGCCCTCAGCATCTGCGGGCCGGGCCGGTGCGCGGTGCCGGGGCGGTGCCGCCCCACAGGTGCTGCGGGCGGGGCGGGGAAGGCGGTGCCGCCCGCGGGCTCCCCCCGCCGCGGGGCGGGCCCAGCCCAGCCCAGCGCGGGGGCCGGGTCGCCGCCGCCACCGCCCCCTGCCGGAGCCGCTCGCCGAGCCGCGCCGGGCCGGGCCGGGCTGTGCCGGGAGCTGCCGGAGCTGGAACTGGTACCGGTGTCGACTCCGCTGCCGCGGCCGCGCCCGCCGCTGCTGGGGGAGGCGGCGCCGGTGCCGCGCCCCCGCGCCCCGCCCGCCCCCGGCAGCAGCAGCAGCGGCAGCGGCAGCCTCAGCACCTCCGCCAGCTCCGCCAGCAGCTCCAGCGGCAGCACCATGGACCTCTCCTTTATGGCCGCGCAGGTGGTGCGCGATGGCGGGAAGGCACCGGGCGGGACGGGACGGGACGGGAGCGGACCGCGGGCGCGCATCCCCTCCTCTCCTTTCCGCGCCCTTCCTCTCCCCTCCAAAGTTGCGTCGGCGCGGGGGTAAACCCGAGCGGCGACGAGCCTTGGGGAACGGGCGAGGACGGGAAAGGAAGGAGAAAAATAAGCCAGCTGGAGCTGGAAGTGCTGCCGAGGAGAAGTTGTCGTGCGCGGCTCGGGGCGCAGCACCTGTTAGCGCCCAGCGGCGGGGCCCGGCCGCGCCTCCGGTGCGGTGCCAGCGGCCTGGGGATGGGGAGGGAGATGCATCATCGCGCTGTCGTCCGAGGACAGGCTGTAAACGGAAATCGTAGATGCGATTTTTCTGTTCTTTTCCTCCCTTCCCTACTGCGATTGTACGTGCATCTGTGGTTTGGTTTTTTTAAGTTGTTGTCTTCGCATACAGAATCCAGCTTGGCGTGTATGGAAATACTCTTCTGTTTGCATGAACAAATTGTTTAAATTGCAGCTTAGTTCTGGATTCTTGCTCGAGGCATGATTGTGGGTGTTGGTGTTCAATGTATTCATGCTTAATATACTGAGAAGTATGTAACAGCTATAAGCCACCCAAAGCCAAAAATCATCATGGTGAATCCAGGTGAATTAGGTTTTTAAACTGACAAACAGTGCTGTGCTTCAGAAAGAGTCACACTCACCATTGCCTTTTCCAGGATAATCTTTTCTGTTCATGTGGATACCCAAGTGTAGTTGGCTCTTAAGAATGATTTGGATCCAAGTTTGAGATTTTGCTGAAAAACATCACCCATCATTTAGAGGCCAGGGAAGCCTTTCCACATGGTTGCTGCCAGATGCTGACTTCATCTGGAGGTGATTGGTGGAAGCCAAATCTAGTCTTTGTGCTGTTGTTCTATTTCATTAGTGCAATGACTATTTTGTCTTATTCCCTTCTTAAAGTCCACTTCTGAAGGGGTGTCAGGCTCTGCCTGAAGGTAGAGTGAAGCTGTCTGAAGTTAGCAGTGAGCTGTCCAAGTATCTCTTCCATTTGGAGGTATTTCTAAGAACAATATTTTTTTAAGGAAAACCGCAGTGGCGAGGAGGAAAGCATCATTTCTACAGATATGAGGTCTTCCTGGGAACTGGAGTATTCAAAGGAAATTTTGTATGTGTCAAATCATCTTCCTGTGGTCTTTCTCAGCACAATCAGCGAGTTCCCTGTATCCATCTTTTGTTGCCTAAGCACTGAGCTGAAGCAGAATGTCCCTGTAGCACAGAAGTGCAGCACAGCAGCAGGTTTTACCTGTGGTCAGTGTGGTGTGTGCCAAAGCTGGGATTAGTGCTACCCATTCCTTTTCTATAGTCTCCTTTATTCTTGCTGTCCCATAGTGCATGTATCTTCTAACTGTGCATTGAAAGAGCCACAAAGCTGGGTGCTTTAGTTCTCTCAGAACAGTTCCCTGTACAAGTACGTCTTATACTTAGTAATGTTATTAGTGCAACAGTTTATAGTGAAACGTGTGCTTTTCTTTCTCCTTAATCCTCTGGAGTTAATTTATTGTGTTCTTTATTGTGTTCACAAGAAGTGACAAATGGTAGGTTTGTTTCAGTGTGAGACAATACGCCTCGGGAAGAAAGGAGGGAATACCTTGGAGCTCTCTGCCACAAAGCCCTTTGGGTGGCGAGGAGAAGGTGGGAAGCAGTTGGGGCTCCCAGGTGTCTCTCCCGGTGGGAGCTCACTGGGCCTGCACAGCACCTGTTTCACAGGGCATGTGGGGGATTCCTCCAGGGGTTATTGGTGTAATTAACCTTAGATGAGCTGTAGGAGAAGATTTCCTGGGCTCTTTTTCTGCTGAAGGAGATGAATCCGGTTGTTAGGTCACTGTGTATAGCAGATGCTGCACTTACCTCTGTTACTCCCCTGTCACAGGTCTCTTGTACCTTTCTTTCTGAACCGTCAGTTCTTTCCATTCCTGTCACCATATTGGCAATTAACTGCCAGCGTGTCACTCCTTTGATTTAGGCATTGCTTTCCTTCAGCTTTCTTTTCACTGCTATCATTCTGTCTTTTTTTTTGAAAAAACGCCATAATCTCTGTGGCGTCTCTGGTGGTGCTGGAGTGGCAGGGTGGGGACCTTCAGTAGGAAAATAGGTAATGCCTAAACTGAGATGCTTCATGGCATACCAGCAATGGTTGCCTCTCAGGTTAATTTAGTTTCTACAGAATAATGCAGACTATTTATGTTCCTATAAATTGCTTTTGTGTATTATCATGCCTTTGCACTGCTCATTGTGGACCAAGTTGGCTTTGCCAGATATCTTGTGAGACACCATAAATGACCTGTACCTTAGAGCCCCAGTGTGATGGATCTGTAGAAGCAGAAGGTGTGTGTAAGTTAGGTTACCACTTGCAGCCTCAGTGATCCTATAGTGTGTTACAGAGACTTAAAATATGGCCTCCTTCTAAGTGCACAGGATGAAAATGTCAGACCAGATAATGCAACAGTTAACAGGGGGTTTTAAGTAAAGTTTTGGTGTGTTTGCTAAAACATTCAGTGGGTGAGAGTTTGCACATCTGGATAACTGTATTGGTATGTTCACCACTCTGGACACCTGAACACAAGGAACCCTGCTTTCTAGAGGCATTGGGTAGCTATATAAATAAACCTCATCTTTCATATTCAGTACCTCTCCTTCTTTTCAAGATGTCTTTGAGATGATTTGTGCCTTGGAGGCCCTGAAAGCATTCCATGTACCAGTAGAAAGATAAACAAAAAGCTCCCTAGAATTATATATTTTATGCTATAGAAAGGATAAGACTTTGCTGATAAAAACTATTGTTGTGGAACAGGAGACTATCGGGGAGTAATGCTAACAAATCTGTGCAGTGTAGATGCAGCACTAGGTTTTGGATGTCCAGCTTAAGCAACCACATCTGAACACCTCAGCTGTATTATATTTATTAGCTACGCCATGGAGAACAGCTTTTGACTGTAACAATTAAATCTGTTGTTAAAATAAGCCTTTTTGCATCAGTGTGTTCATCAGTAGTTGGTTGTGCAGGCTTAGGTGTCCTCTGTTCTGCATGTGCTCTAATTGACTTTGGGTAAGGTCAGTTGTGCTAATAAGTATGACTCTCACCTAGTCAAAGCCTATTAGCTAGTGATTTTTTTTTTTCCATTTTAAATCCATGTTTTAATTTAAGTAATGCTGTAAACCTCAAGATACTATGCCAAAGATGTTCAGCCACTGCTAAGCTGTATGACTGGCTCATTTCTGCATATCGTTCAGTGATTTCAGAGTGCTCTTGTAGTCTAGGTAACCTCAGAAATAGCCACTTCTTTTGGGTAGACACTTTTGCTTCCAGCAAAAGCCTGGGTTTGGGGGATGCTGAGCTTTTCATCCAAGCTAAGAGCACTCGAGGCTTTTAGCAGGGGTTAAGGGTTTGCTGTCAGATGCCCAGGGGTGAGCTGCCTCCCTTCCCTGCTTCTGACACACTAAAATTAATATTCATTTAACAGCCAGCTGATGGAAAAGAAATAACAATCAAAATTGCATCTGGGTTAATGGGAGCAGGGTTGAAACATATTCAACTTGGAAAAAACAGAAGCTCAAAATGGGCAGAAAAACTGGGAAGATTGAGAAGAAAAAAATGATGTCATGGTGTTCAGTGTGGAACAAATCGATATGAGCTGAGCAACACCTGCAGTCATAATGCCAGTTATGTGTTTTACAAGATTTATGTTTGCAATTTAATTTTCCTGGAGTTTTTTTCTTTATTTTTTGTTTCATAATGAAAATAAGGAATGGATTTCTTTATTTGCAATGTTTTTATGGTTGTGTATATCTTCATACAGTAAAAATATTATTTTAATTGTCAGATAAATGGCCTTTTCTTCTTTTACATATAGAACAGGGAAAAGGTAGTAAGGTCTTCGGGAGTTCTGTGGATAAAATATCTGTTGATATTTGTTGAACTTGGTTATATATAGTTCATGTTGATTCTCCATGTTCAAAAGCTCTTTTTAAATAATTTCTGAGGATTTGGAATACAGGAATTTGAATTCCTTATGTTTAGTTTAATGATTAAAAGTTATATTTTTATAATCTTTGATTTCAATTGGAGTCTTGGGGATTTTTTTAAATAAGAAAAATTATGTCATGCTTCAAGAGCTAGAGAAATAAGTGAACAAGTTTGGTACGGAAAGTAAAACCATTAAAAAGTAAAGATATTTTAAATGTCATTGCTTTTGTGTTCTGTATTACTCTTCTGGGGTTTCAGGTCTGGTCAGTGATCATTTAAGTCACTTTAAGCCTTTCATTGCATTGACAATAACTCAGGTCCCCAAAACAGGGAGATAGTCCTTGGTGTCACTTGAAGAAACCCTATAGCTACTTATAAGCCTGGCAGAATAACAACTCCAAGGCTACCGTGCTTCTGCATGAAACATACATTATTAAGAGATATGCAATTTCTGGAAAGCACTGCAATACACAGAGTAAACTGAGTTAATTTAGAATCAATAATGTCATGCAAGTTATTTTTGAAAATATAGTAGCAGAATCTACAAAATTTGATTTGAAATAAGATTTCCTTTTTGACTTATTATGGAATCATAGCATCATTGTCATTATGTCATTTTTATGTTGGAAAATAATTGTAAGATCTAGTCCAGCCATTAGTGTGGCACTGCCAAGTCCGCCACTAAACCATGTCCCTAACTGCCACATGTACACATTTTTTAATTACCTCCAGGGGTGGTGACTCAACCACTTCCCTGGGTAGGCTGTTCCAATGCTTGACAACACTTTATGTGAAGAAATGTTTCATAACATCCAATTTAAACCTCCCCTGGGACAACTTGAGGCCATTTGAAATTTGCCCTGCCCCTTGTTACTTGGGAGAAGAGACTGACCCCCATCTTGGCTACAATCTCCTTTCAGGTAGTTGTTGAGAGTGATAAAGTCCCCGCTGAGCATTCTTTTGTC